AAAAGACAGAGCTTGAAGTAGTAAATGACTCACCAGGATTTTTAGCAGCTATTGGAGGAGTACTCAGAGAAATGCTGTAAATCCAGTATTTTTCTGTGGCGTCCCTTTTCTAATCACTAGGCCACCCCCACCCTTCACTTCTAGCTCACCATCAGTGTCATTAGCTTTCCTAACTTTTAACAAAGCTGAATGCAGTTCTTTCTCAGTTTTCTTACATATCATGTAAGTATAGTTTAAGCTATCTTACCCGGCTGCTCAAAGGAATAACACTTCACTTAAAAAAATTTTTTTAAATATTTTTTATTGGGGAATTGGGGAAAGGGGAACAGACAAGGTGCTGTCCTTTTGTTCTTCAGTCTAGTTGTGGAAGACGTTGCTTCACTGGCCCAAGTTGGCACCATCATTGCGCTCTTCCCGGGCGAGGCAAATCAGTTGCCGGCTTCTGGACAGCCACTCCCGGCGGCTGCTGACTGCTGACGATGGCTGCTGGTTACACACGGTAGCCCATGGCAACCCACTGCCACAGGGGCTGCAGCTTACTCCGTCGCCAGCGACTCATGGCAGCCCAGCTCCAGGTTGAGCTGTTGTTCAGCATCTTAGCTGTAGAGGGCAGTGTCACTGGCCCTCATATGTGGGATCCGATCCGGGGCCCTCTGGCGTCCCAAGCCAGCTCTTAACTATGGTGCCACTCAGCCGGCCCTAAAATTGTTTTTTAACTACTCCCCACAGCCTACAGCCAATTAAAAGTCAAAAAAATAAATTAAATATACCAAAATAAAGATTTCTAGGGCCGGCCGAGTGGCGCATTGGTTAAGATCTGGCTTGGGACGCCAGAGGGCCCCGGTTCGGATCCCACATATGAGGGCCAGTGACACTGCCCTCCACAGCTAAGATGCTGAACAACAGCTCAACCTGGAGCTGGGCTGCCGTGAGTCCCCGGTGACGCTTAGGCTGCAGCCCCTGCTGCAATGGGTTGCCATGGGCTACTGTGTGTAGCCAGCAGCCAGCGTGAGCGGCCAGCAGCCGCAGTGAGCGGACATCCAGAAGCCAGCGACTGATCTGCCTCGCCCGGGAAGAGCGCAATGATGGTGCCAACTTGGGCCAGTGAAGCAACGTCCTCCACAGCTAGACTGAAGAACAAAAGGACAGCAACTTGTCTGTTCCCCTTCCCCCAATTCCCCAGCACTGTTCCCATCCCCCCAATTCCCCAATAAAAATCTTAAAAAAAAAAATGATTTCTAGACTGAACAAAAAGATTGATACTTATTAAGTACCTTCTATGGGCAAGGCCCTGGGAAGTACAAAGGAGCAAAACAGACGGTCTTGTCTCTGACACATGGCTTACAATGTCATTAGCCATATTATCAGAACAAATAATAATCTAAGGCAAAAAAATTATGACCTCTTATACAAAATAAATGCTACAGAAGTTCAGAGTGAGGCAAGATCATGGCTGAAGTGGTCAGAAAAAAAAAAAAAAAGCTTTGCACAGGAGCTAAAAAATATAAAAGAATGATGGAAATGATTCTTCCAAGACAGGCCATTTTCTTTAAAAGAGAAATCCAGAAACTCCACCTGAAAAAAATCTCCCTCTTAGTACACATCTCCATAAGAATTGAATAGGCCTTTAAAGAGCAAATGACCCGTTTCAAAAACAATTTCTGGGGTTCTGAATTTAGATTAATAGCTAACAGAAATTCATTCTTTACTTGTCTCTGTTGGGGGTGAAGGTGACTGACATTTCTGGGTGGTTCTGGCCTTCTTTGGTCATCCCTACTATAGGTGTCCCGGCAAGAAGGAAGAGTGTGCCCACCTTAGGCAGTCTCCACCTGCAACTGGGTCACGGGGGCTGGTTCCAGCTGAACCGATTGGGGAACCATTCTACTTGGTGTACAAAGTGTGATACAGGCTGCCAGAACTGTCATCTTCTTTAGTTACACACTATTAATCAGGAATGGGAAGGGTCCTAGCACATGCCAACCCAACTCCCAACACTCTTCAGCATCTGGCTCAAAGGCATAGCACTTCACTTTAAAATTGTTCTGCACGCACACTCACCAAAAGATGTGTAAAAGGAAGTTCACAGCAGCTCTGTCCATATTAGCCCCAAGCTGGAAAGTATCCAGATAGCTACCCACAGTTAATGGATAAATAAATCGTGGTATATTCACATAAAGGGATACTTACAGAATAATGAGGATGAACAAACCAGGCTACCACACGCCACAACATGGATGAATCTGACAAGCACAATGTTTAGCACAAGAAGACACACACAAAAGCAAACATACCATTTGGTTTTATGTATATAAAGTTTAAAAAAACGAGCAAAACGAATCTATAGCATTAGAAGTCAGAATAGTGGTTACCTTGAAGCAGGGGTAGTTAGCGACTGGAAGGGATCCTAAGGGGACTTCTGGGGTCCTAAAAAATGTCTATTTCTTAATCTGAATGGTGATTACAAGGGAGTGTGTACTTTATAAAAACTCATCAAGCTGTACACTTATGATAACACTTTTCTACCAAATGCTTTATTTCAATAAGAAATTTATCTTAAAGAAAACTGAAAATTGTGTTTTATAAAAGGATTATAGTAAGTTGAGCAAAACTTTACAGTTGAAAGCTACATGTGTATTCACATCCACAATTTTTTTGTTTAAATTACTTATTTTGCATGGTGACCATTTTATGGTAAAATTTATTTTATAGTATTTTAATTTGCTTGGTCAATAAATGTATACTCATAGTAATGTTACAATACCAAAGAAAGATAACCCTAAAATTAAGGCTCTCTGCCTTGCAAGCAAATCAAAGAGAATGACATATTACTCCACTTGTTAGTCCTGATATATCATCCTTAGAAGACAGAGGAGGAAGAGGAGGAAGAGGGGGAGGAGGGGGAGGGGAAACTTCTCCAGGCTGTTCTTTAAAACCCTAAGAAAAAAAAACAATGGGTCACCAGGGTGTGTTCTAGTGCTGTGCAATTATTTGTTAAAAAAATGTTACAAGGCCAGGGGCAGGAATAAGATGTCCTCAGTAACTCCCCCTCTATCTAAACCACAAGCCTGGTTCAGGCAATAACAAATCAGGCTGTAGGCTGATCCCTGCTGAGAGGTGTAACCCAAACAAACAACTTACTATTTGCCCCTTGCACTGGCTATGGATATATCACTATCCCATATCTGCCATTAATTACATAATTTTCCTCCTCATCAACAGTTGTAGCATGCATACATCTTCTCTTCAATGTAACACTAAGCAGAGAGGAAATTCCTCTTTAGAGCCTCATAGGTCAGCTCTCAGTATGAGTACCCATCCACACTGTATTTGGAAGTCACCCATCCACACTGTATTTGGAAGTCATGGTTTCCTAATGACTGTGAAACTAGAATGGGGAGAAGAGGTCATCAAGAGTAGCTGCCTTCTTAAGGGAGGTGGCAAAGGAGGTGGCAAGATGAAACCTGGAGGCCAGGGCCTTGCCTAGGTTCCCCTCACCAGGAGAGCACCCAACCTACTGGTACAGTTAGCGCCTGCTAGTCCTCGGAGTCCTTCACAGGGACTGCGGCACAACCTTGGCAAAGATGCTGGGGACTGCTTGGGCCAGCGAACGTCGGCCTCTGGTGCTTGAGACAGGCCTGGTGGACTCTGGCTGAGACCCTCCGTAAATTGTCACCTGTCAATCACTGACCTAAATACACCAGCCACTCCCAGAATGGGAGGCAGGAGGTTAGTTGGAGCATGCTCAGTGATCGGGATGACATCACTTAATCAATGCTGGGGACGAGAAGGCTGCATCAGCAGCCTCGAGCAGGCTGCCAGGAACAAGCAGGCTGCCAGGAACGTGTCAGCTGGGATCGGGAGGCTCCCATTAACTCGATCTGTCCCGATGCGGCTCGCATACAAAGGGGGCACCGTCAACTACACACGTTGGGGACAGTGGAGGGAGGGGGAAGGGGA